TTGAAAAATCCACGCCTATGGTTGGTCCTTAAGGAAATATTCTTTAAAAAATCCACGCCTATTGTTGGTCCTTAAGAAAATATTCTTTAAAAAATCCACGCCTATGGTTGGTCCTTAAGAAAATATTCTTTGAAAAATCCACGCCAATGGTTGGTGCTTAAGAAAACATTCTTTAAAAAATCCACGCCTATGGTTGGTCCTTAAGAAAATATTCTTTGAAAAAGCCACGCCTATGGTTGGTCCTTAAGAAAATATTCTTTAAAAAATCCACGCCTATGGTTGGTCTTTAAGGAAATATTCTTTGAAAAATCCACGCCAATGGTTGGTCCTTAAGAAAATATTCTTTAAAAAATCCACGCCTATGGTTGGTCCTTAAGAAAATATTCTTTGAAAAATCCACGCCTATGGTTGGTCCTTAAGGAAATATTCTTTAAAAAATCCACGCCTATGGTTGGTCCTTAAGGAAATATTCTTTAAAAAATCCCCGCCTATGGTTGGTCCTTAAGAAAATATTCTTTAAAAAATCCACGCCAATGGTTGGTCCTTAAGCAAATATTCTTTAAAAAATCCACGCCTTTGGTTGGTCCTTAAGAAAATATTCTTTAAAAAATCCACGCCTATGGTTGGTCCTTAAGAAAATATTCTTTAAAAAATCCACGCCTATGGTTGGTCCTTAAGAAAATATTCTTTGAAAAATCCACGCCAATGGTTGGTGCTTAAGAAAATATTCTTTAAAAAATCCACGCCTATGGTTGGTCCTTAAGAAAATATTCTTTAAAAAATCCACGCCTATGATTGGTCCTTAAGGAAATATTCTTTAAAAAAATCCACGACTATGGTTGGTCCTTAAGGAAATATTCTTTGAAAAATCCACGCCTATGGTTGGTCCTTACGGAAATATTCTTTACAAAATCCACGCCTATTGGTTGGTCCTTGAAAAAATATTCTTTAAAAAATCCACGCCTATTGGTTGGTCCTTGAAAAAATATTCTTTAAAAAATCCACGCCTATGATTGGTCCTTAAAAAAATATTCTTTAAAAAATCCACGCCTATTGGTTGGTCCTTGAAAAAATATTCTTTAAAAAATCCACGCCTATTGGTTGGTCCTTGAAAAAATATTCTTTAAAAAATCCACGCCTATTGGTTGGTCCTTGAAAAAATATTCTTTAAAAAATCCACGCCTATTGGTTGGTCGTTGAAAAAATATTCTTTAAAAAATCCACGCCTATTGGTTGGTCGTTGAAAAAATATTCTTTAAAAAATCCACGCCTATTGGTTGGTCCTTTAAAAAATATTCTTTAAAAAATCCACGCCTATTGCTTGGTCCTTGAAAAAATATTCTTTAAAAAATCCACGCCTATTGGTTGGTCCTTGAAAAAATATTCTTTAAAAAATCCACGCCTGCTTGGTCCTTGAAAAAATATTCTTTAAAAAATCCACGCCTATTGGTTGGTCCTTGAAAAAATATTCTTTAAAAAATCCACGCCTATGATTGGTCCTTGAAAAAATATTCTTTAAAAAATCCACGCCTATGATTGGTTCTTGAAAAAATATTCTTTACAAAATCCACGCTTATGATTGGTCCTTGAAAAAAATATTCTTTAAAAAATCCACGCCTATGATTGGTCCTTAAAAAAATATTCTTTAAAAAATCCACGCCTATGATTGGTCCTTAAAAATAAGTAGAAAGTAGTAAAGTTGGACTGGGCCGACTATATGATCCCTTCACCACCTATGAAAACCTATGATAAATTTAATTTCATTCGGGCAGATTTAGAGTTGTCTGAGTACCATGGGACAAATTTATGGAAAACGATTTATAGCAAAACTGATACACGGCAAATTTCGTGCAAATCGAAGGATATATGGGGACTGTGGTGGACCATTTACATAAAATCGGACGAAGATATATATGGGAGCAATATCTAAATCTAAAAATTAAGTACGCTATGCTATTAAGTACGCTATGCTAAATTTCGTGCAAATCGATAGTTATATAGGGACTTTGGTGCACCATATACATAAAATCGGACGAAAATATATATGGGAGTTATTTCAAAATTTGAACCGATTTCCCCGAAATTTACCACTCATCATTCTAGACTTAATCGTTCTAGACTAGACACAAATCTTTCTAGACTTAATTCAGTACGCTATGCCAAATTTCGTGTAAAGCGAAGGATATATAGGGACTTTGGTGCATCATTTACCTTAAATCAGACGGAAATATATATGGGAGATATAGCTCTGAACCGATTTTTCCTAATTGCAATAGGGTTCGTCCTTGGGCCAAATAAATGAGCTGTGCCAAGTTTCATTCAATTTAAATCAGAAATGCGACGTGTACTTTGTTTACAATTTAACATGGATGGACAGACGGACATGCATAAATCGGCTTAAAAAGTGATTCTATGCATATTCTCAAAAGGAACCATGTGTCTATCTCGTTTCCTTTTGCCTGTTACAAACATATGCACAAAGACATAATACCCTGTACCACAGTGTGGTGAAGGGTATAAAAACGCCTACGGTTGGTCTTTGAAAAAATATTTTTAAAAAAATTTGTAGAAAATTAAACAAGGCGTGATTTTTTCACGAAATGTCTCGCATGTTGCATTTCACAATTTTCCTATACCTACTTATCCTGTCATAGTTGAAGGTAAAAAGAAAATTTCACTATAGACCGCACGATTATTAGTTAGTTCCTGTTGTTGCTAAAAGTAATTACCCCGCCATTAAAATTGTTGTTAAATTGGCTGTTATTAAATTGTGAAATACACACAAAAGTTTACAAGTGGCGAGTGTTTTTATGTGTGCGTATGTATGTGTATAATATTTTATGCTAGTTGAAATGGAAGAACAAAACTTTTTATAACCAGTGAGCGGAGCAGTATAGTCGGACGGGGCCGACCATACGATACCCTACACAACTACCACGGAACTCAAATTTTCTGCGGATGTTTATTTCGAGACTGGGCAATATTTCGTGATATTTGCACCCTCTTGCCCGATTAGAGGTAAACAGCACCTCTTCCTCACACTAACATATTTTCCGAATATTACGAGTATTCAGTACTGCTATTGTCCAGATTCCCTTCACCATGGGTTGTGTTGTGATGTTCGGCTTTCATTTGAGGTCTATAGATCGACTCGAAAATAACACAAAAAATAAGTTTTCGGTCCACTTCATTCCAAAATTATTATCTGATCATCACCGAAAATTATAGGCGTTGTCCTTGACCATAACAGGATCCTCATGGAACATTTCAAAGCGATCAGCGCTATAGTTCCGCTCTCCAGAGTGATAATGGGTTACTAAATAATATACGAATACGGAGATACCTGTAAATATTTAGGTGTAACTCCCACATCCGAGCACATACAACAATATAATTGGTCTTAATTTAAAGGTCAACCACTCCTCTTGGATATAATATCAACTTTTCGGGTATATGTCCTTCAGGGGTAAATATATACGCCATAGAATACAAATTTTGTCATTTTTCACACAAAAGTCAGGGTCCATTTGACCCGCTAAATATTGACCAATCTTTCTCCAAACAGGCATGCTTATTCTTTGGCCCGATCCGCTTCTCCATGCAAAATTTCACGATGTTCGGACCATTGGTGCGGCCTCTGGAGCGACCAGAAAAACCGACAAAAATTTAGTATTTGGTCCATTTCATCCCCTAAATATTAACCGATCTTTCCCAAAAACAATAGGGGTCTTCATTGGCCAGAACCCATCCTACATGCAAAATTTCGTGAAGATTGGTCCATAACTGTGGCCTGTATCGTGTTTACAAATTATAATGGACAGACGGACGGACGGACGGACGGACGGACGGACACACATGTCTAGATCGACTCAGCTAGTCGAGATATGACGATCGGTATACTTAAAGATGGGTCTAGGACCAATATTTCGCGGCGTTACAAACTTTTGGGGCTGCACAAAGCTATAATACCCTGACAACATAGTTGTGTAGGGTATAAAAATGTAATTTAATTTTGAATGATATCGATTAATAAGGAAACAATGTTGCAAGAGAGTAATATACACACATACACGCCGTTTGTCATTTTTCAATAGAATTTAATTGGATATTTGAACAATCACTATTTAATTGATACTAATTATGTGTTTGTATTAAAATTAGTAGGTATGGTTAAGGAGGGGAAGAAGGCAAAAGTGGTTATACATTAACCATTAAGTTTGATAGCTACTATTTAAGTCTTAATATAGCAAGGTGTTGTTTTTGCTGATATGGGAAATAGAAATACATTTTAAAGAAATCTACCTTAAGTACATTTTCTCCTTTATTCAACAGAAAAAATTATATATAGTATACAAGTATATATAGTATATAGTTTTTTAACCAAATACATTATTTTCAAATTTTCACACATAAACACTCGACCTTAAATTTTGAAAACATTTGCAAATGTCCATGAAATAAATACCTATCCTAACTTTGTTCTTCTCCATTTTCATACTTTGCAGACAATCTAATGAAACTTGTATCTGTCCAGACGTAAGAACTGACATTATCTACAGCAAACACTCTACAACAAAAATAAATAACCTTTAAAAGACCCCCCTAAAGCAATTTCAACACAAATACGAACACACTCGAATAAACTTTAACCAAGCGAAATCCTTTTGGCTTGAAAAAAATGTAAATACCGAAAAAATCGAGATAAGGTGGACATCGTCGAAGAGAAAAATGTGGCAATGCAATAAAGACGAAGAAGAACGAACTACAACAACACCAAAATTACTAATAATAAATCTTAAAGCTTGATTTAAGATTAAAAAAAAAACTGTAAACATTTTGTGTATACCTGTCAGCAGTGATGCGCTGCTGCTGCTCTTGTAAGACACAAAGGAAAAACGGACGAAACGGAAGAAAATATATAAAATTGATTTAACGGAAGTATTGAAGCAGATACAGAAGCAACGCAAAAACACGCACATCGAAAGACACCGGATACACATACAAGCATACATCTATTGAGATATATGTACCTAAAGAAAGCAGTAGCAGATCAAAGGAAACATGTCGAATGTAAGTATGGATGGACATGGTTTAGGAAAGAGCTGGGTGGGGATGGTCCAATCCCCGAACAAATGGTGTAAAAATAATTGGATTTCTTACAGAAAAATTAATTAAAAATAACTATTTTGAATCCTTTCTCTCTCTCTTTGTCTTCCCTCTTTTGTTTTATTACAACAATCTGACAAACAACAACAACACCTCCTATAGTTACTGTTCATGGATGAATCGAATGGCAATGGTGTGTATGCAACGTCTGCGACAGCAATTTTAATCAACAATACAAATATCAATAATAATAACAACAACAACAACACAAACAACAATAACAGCATTGGGCGTGGTAACAGCAATCACAGCAATAGTAACAACAATACACCACCCGCCACATCGACGTACAACAAGAGCAATAATTACAACAATAATAACAACAACAGCAACATTAACAACAGTGGCAACAACATCCAAAGTTTAATGGCAGCAGCTTCAAATGCAGCCGGCACGGCTGCATGTTCCAGCGGTGGAGTCATCCCTCCACAGCTGCCAACGTCACTATCAAATGAAGATCTTAGTCAAAGTCTTTCCGAATATACGGATGCCGATGAAAGCATATCAGCGCCAACAGAATTCTTAGCCGAGGTAAGAGAATTTTTTTAAGGAATCCAATAAAATAATAAGAAGGGAATCTGTCCAAAGAATAATCAAGTTTGGAAATTTATTTTATGCCTTAGGCAAAGGTGAGGGAAAGTGAAGATATTCAAAATATTGAAACAGGTTAAAATTCTCTAATATTAGTTCACAAATAGGTTCGAAGGAGCAAGAACAGGCTCTGAGTGGGCAAACGAATTCCTCAATACTTTTAAAATAGGTTCAGCAATTTACATTCCTCCCATATAAATATTTTATATAGGAGGTATGTAAATGCCTGGAACTAATTTTCAAATTATTGAGATGGTATTTTACCAACTCATAGCCCCCAAATGACAACTTACATTGAAATCCGATGGAATCTATATACAAAACTGCTGATGCTAGAATCTTGAAATTTGGGGTAAAGATCCCACTAGTCCGAAGATATCAGATAGGGCTGGGTATTGAAAAGTCGTACTAGTACGGTACGAAAATACTAAATATGACACCATTTGTGTTCGGCGAATCGGTAGAGATAGAAGTCTTAAATTTGGAATGACGGTCACTGATGGAGTGTGGGATATCAAACCATATGATATGTATCAAAGGGTTTCTTGGAAATTTCCTAGGTACAAATTTCATATTCTTGGACGGGGCCGACCATATGATACCCTACACAATTACCATTAAAATCTAACTTTCCTCTTAACCGATTTTAGGTAAACAGCTCCACTTTCTAAACCTGAAGTGAATATTATCGCGATAAAAAAATTGGTAACTTTGGGTGTTGGTTGATCTGACCAATACCCAAATATTGACTGATCATCATCATCATCTAAACAGTCGTTGTAAGTATTAGGTCAGATTCCCTTCACCGTGTAAAATAGGGCGACTGAAAAATCTGACAAAATAAATTTATCGGTTCACTGCACTTCCATGACCATAACCGAAAGTTCATGTAAAATTTCAAAGCGATCAGCGTGACATTTCTGCCCTCTAATGGGGTAATAGTGATACCAAACAATATCATAACATATAAACACCTTTAAATATTTACGTATAACTCCCACATCCGAGTACAATTTAAAGGTCAACCACTCCTCCTGATTGTACTATCAACATATCGGGTCTATGCACTTCAGAAGGTAATATATACGCCCAGAATACAAATTTGGTCATTTTTCACACAAAAGTCTGGGTCCATTTGACCGCCTAAATATTGATCGATCTTCATCAAAACTGTCATGCTTATTTATTGGGCAGTGTAACATTTCGTGGTGTTCGGGTCATAATTGCGGTCTCTGAGCGACCAGAAAAACATACACAAATAAAATTTTGGGTCCATTTCATCCCCTAAATAATATCGATCTTTACCAAAAACAATGGGGGGTCTTCATTGGCCCGAACCCATCCTACATGCAAAATCCCGTGAAGGTTGGTCCATAACTGTGACCTGCATCCTGTTTACAAATTATAATGGACAGGCGGACGGAAACACATGTCTAGATCGACTCAGCTAGTCGAGATATGACGATCGGTATACTTAAAGGTGAATCTACGACCAATATTTCGCGGCGTTACAAATTCTTGGGGCTGCATAAAGCTTTAATAACCTGACAGCATAATTGTGTAGGGTATAAAAATGGAATGCATTTAAGGTTGAGAAGTAGGGTCGATATAAGGAGGTTGTAGGTAGTTTTGTAGTTTTTACAAAAGTGTACGAAGAGTACTAAACGCTAATATATACCTGGAACGCAGAAATTACGATAAAAGATTACTACAGCATTGTAGAATTGACGTATGTACGGTACATAATTTGGTACAATTTGAATTTTGTGTGAACCGATAGAGCAGGAATCGTTAAATTTGGAGTTAGGATCACTGTTGGAGTATAGGATTGGGATATGTAGGAACTTTACGAAATAATGTGTACTAAATGGTACAAAATTTCGTACAATTTGAATTTGTGTGGATAGGATTGTTGAGGTGTGTACCTATGGAAATTTATATATACGTACTAAATGTGATACAATTTAGATGTAGGTGAACTCTATGGGTTGGACTCCTGAGTTATGGAATTAAGATTACTGTTGGAGTGTAGGACTGGGGTATGTAGGAAGTTTTTGAAATTCGTACTTATATGTACTAATGGTACTAAATTTGAATAAATGAATCTGGTTGGTATAATAAAATTGGGAAATAGGTTTACTAAATTTGGTAAAATTTGGATTTGGGTGACCCTATAGAGCTCGGATCATAAATTTGGAAATAAATACTGTAAGAGTACAACAGCTAAAAAATGGTATACAAATAGATTTATGTTGCGGACAGAGATGGGGTGAAGTTACGAAATTGTATTCAAATTTTAATTATGGTCGATATTGGTGTGTAGGTTGAGGTTGATTAGCTCTATTGACTTATATAGTTTTCGGTGAAAACAATTCGCTACCGAATTAGCGGGCATACGCTAGTATAATATAAAAACTGTTCAAATATTGACACCAAGCGGTTTGCCTCCAGCCTATGAAAATCCATTATTTTTTGGACAGATGGCTTTACTGATAGATTTCTCGTAAAGTATCGATCAAACAATTTCAGATTTATGCTTGTTGGAAGGGTGACATTTCGCAGTAAAAACATTATTTTGCTGTTTTTTGTTTGGTGCATTCAGTTGTGAGTTTCAGGGTGTTAAGAATGGAAGTGAAAAAAGAGAAAATTCGGTATATTTTACACTTTTTTTGACAAATGCGAAAATGCTTGCCAAGCGGCTAAAATTGTGAATGGTGTTTATGGTTCCGATACTGTAACAGCCAATTACGTGAATTTCGGTTTCGTAGGTTCCATTTAGGAATTTTTGATGTTAAAGATGCACCACCATCGAAGTTGGCCAGAATTGGCCAAACAGGAGAGGTGTCGTGTTACACCAGGATGCATCCTCCATACAGTTTTAATGCATCCTCCATACAGCCCGGACTTGGCACTAAGAGATTATCAGATTTTTCTTGCATTGCAAAATTTCTTTAATGATAAAAAATTGGTATCTATGGAGGATTGTGAAAATCGTCTACTAGTTTTTTTTTTTTTTTTTTTTTTTGAAGTTACATTAAAATTTAAAACAAAATCGGACATTCCGAAGCATGTTAAATAAAGTCTTATAGTTCATAAAAAGTAATGTATTTCATTTTTCCCCAACCTAATACATTTATCTTCTTTCGACATTGAAAATTCTAGCGCATAACGGAGAATATTCCTGCTCCTCATTCAATTCTCTATGTCAGCAATCGTTGCAACAGGCAGTTCACTTTCCCTTTTCACAACTTTTGTGAAGATAAAAAATCAACTGGGGCCAAGTCCGGCGTTATCCATTATGAGGGGTTTCAACAATTCTGTGCGTTTTTCGGAGGCATTGCTATGCACAAACCACACATAATATCAACGTTTATTCCTTAATGATCGTGCGATCTTGTGACAAGAATTCGTGATTCACCTCGACAGTCGAAGAAAAATCTGAACAAAACCTTGATGTTAAGCTTGATTTTCTCTTTACTGTATTGGATCTCGTTGGACACTTTATTGCTATGATTGGACTTTGGCTTTAAGTTTAATCGTTTTACTAAAACTAGTACAAAAATCGGTATAATTATCTGAAAATGTGTATAAAAAATTTTACGATTCGGAGCATAAGTTTAGCATAATGAGATATAGTTATAATAAATATGTCAGACGAATCCGACATTGCCTCATAATGTAAAATGTATTAGTGTTTGTAGATTGAAGGTTTTCTGAGCAAGGATCAGGTAAAAGTTGTAAAGGACGATGAAAACATGCGAATATCGAATTCTTGTCTTTTTGGGCCAAATCTAAAATCTTATGAGCGAAGTTTTTGTGTAATATTTGGTGATGAAAATATCTCGTCTTGTATATAGTTTACGATTCAAAAAAATAAGGACGAAAAAGACGTAAAAGGACTCGAGATAGGAGTATACGTTTTACGTCATTTGATTTGACTGAAGATATGTGATGTCAAAAACTTCATGAACTTTAGAGTTACCAGCAAAAACCTTATCACGACATAACTTTAAAAATTGCTCTATGACGAATTTTTTCTTCTGGGTTTTTCATATACTCGAAAAAGGCTGTAATGCCCATAAGTAATTGCCCACCCCACCGTCCATTGCCACGATTTTGTGTCAGTGATATTTATGTTCGACCTTCAACAATATAAGACTTCAACAAATTTACATTGTTATTTTTATACTTATGTATTGGTGTAGGATCTGACACAAACCATACCTCGTAAAATTATACCTCTTCTTATGTGTTTTACAATCATATGTGTGGCAACGTAAACTCTCCTGGTAGCGTCTCTTCATATACCCCTAGAACCATATTTTTGTTTAATAACATCTCATGGAAAACAAAAACAAATTTGAAGAAGAAAAGTTTTGCGGTAAACCAATGGAAAGCATTTCATTCGCATGTAAACATTTCTGCAAACAAATGGAAAAATCGTATTTCCACTTCCGTTTGTTTTACTGAGTGCAATCATTGAGTAAAAAATGAATTTCCTGTGGGAATTACTTCAATTTATGTCGGAGAATGGCCACTTGTAGAAAATACCAATGATGGTATTAAGACCTGAAACTAAAAACTGTTAACGGAGGAAATATTGAAAAAAAACTTAAATTTAATATTTTACGAAATGTGAATTGAAATTGACAGATATTTCATTTGGAAAAAAGTCCCATAAGTTTCTAAAATCGGGTATACAAAGGATATATCAGAAATTGGGACATATTTATACTGAAAGAAATTTTTTGATAAATTAATCAGAACTTAGCAACTGATAATAAATATGATATTAACCAACATTCTACATTTCCCTCCTAATTCCAGTTTCTGTCATCAGTCATGCTCAAGGATTACAAAAAAGCTTTAAAATATTGCAAACTGAGTAAGTACCACTTGGTGTACCATTCACCAAAACAACAAAAACTGTAAAAACAAAATAAATAAACACAAATGTCATTATTTATATTCAAGACAAATAGAAATATGAGAAACTTTCTAATTAAATCATATTTTATCCTTTTTTATTATTTTTCTCAACTAAACAAAATAACTAATTTTTTCTTCTTCTGTTGTTGCTGCTGCCGTTGCTTTTCCTTTTTGCCTTGTCGTTACAGTTTTGCAGTATGAACCACACAATTCGACAGCAAAGGAATTCTATCCATTGATATTGGACAAGTTACGTGGTATGTATAAATGTGTGTGATTTCTGTAGGTGATGTATTGTAGAGGGAGTGAGAAAAACATCGGGTCATTAAATAAGGATGTTAAAAGGATATGATTGGGAAACATTTAAAATCTGAAAATGCAGATATAGAATCCTATCCAGTAAAAAAAGGACAAAAGTCGTACGGGTCCAACCCAATGATACCCTATATAATATTGTGTATATACTATATGTGCGGTATATCTTATAGTAATAGATAAAATCGATCGAGAAGATATATTGAGGCTATATCCAAATATGAACCGATTTTATAAAACTTAACACATATCCAGGCGTACGCTGTGAACAATTCCGCCTCAGTGGAACAAATTTTGGATATTTAGTACAATGTCGAAATTTATTGCAGATCGTTAAAAACATCGCATCATTTAAAGTAGCAGGGACAGACAACGCCTTACCTTTTTCATTACAAAAAGATGCGGACTATTTATCACCATACGAAAGCTTGTCATGATGTAACATCCTAACTACGCAACAGCTCCCATCCCACTTATCTACGACGTTGTAAATGGTCAGGTTTCAGTTCTTACATGACCTGGACTTTATATGGATGTAGTTGTAGATCTAAATACAAAATACGCCATAATGTTCCTAACTCCTGAGAAGTACAAGGAAAGGACACATTCGGGTCTTCGGCAAAACTTTCACTTTCAGTGGAACAGCGAAAGGACGATTCACAGGACTATTTGTAACCGCTCCTGTCTATTGATTTTCTTGAATAGAACAATCTGTGAAATGGCACACCCCTACACCGACTGTTCATTTATTTCAAGAAAGCTTCGATACCATCAGACGAACTGCCATATGGGAGGTATTGAGAAAAAATGAGTACCCCAAAAAAATTGGAATAATAAAAACTATGTACGAAAATGCGGAACTCTCAGTTCTTCACAACGGGAACATACGTCGCCCTTGCTGGTCACGATTGTACTGGATGAAATAATGAAAGAAGTCTGCTCTCTGAGAAGAGGCATACCATGGACAGCTGGAAGACTTGGACTATTCCGATGATATCAGTCAAAAGTAAAATATCTGTTGAGAATGGCACGCAATGTTGTACTTGAATTTAATATGAAGAAAACAAAGGTCATGTTACAAGACTAAGGAATTGAATACATCGATAGCTTCTGCTATCTCGGAAGCACTGTAAGAACAAGTGGTGGTGCAGAAACAGACGTAATGAAAAGGATAATAAAAGCGAGCGCGAAATAAATTTAACCTAGGAAATGGAGATGTACTGGCTGAATCTAAAGAGAAAGAGCCATAGCATAACCAGAATGGCGCTTGAAGTGAATCCCCAAGGATCAAGAAATCGAAGTCGACCAAGAAACACCTGGTGGTGAATAATTATCCAAGAACTATGGCAAAACAATCGTACATGGAAAGATGCAAGAACAACGGTAACTAACCAAGTAAGATGTCGGTGCTTTCTTGAAGCCCTATGATCCTAAGAGGAGTAAGAGGAAAAAATCTCTTCTTAAAGCTTCTTGTGATAGGTTTTGATAATTTGTATGTGTTGTGAGATAGTTTAGCGATGCCTCAGAATGCAAGATATTCTTGCCCTACAACATAAGCGATATAGAGCTGTGAAACCTTATAAACCACGTGGTAAACTGAGATGCATTGCGAACACCTTAAACATGAGTGAAATACCCAAAGATCTCAATCGAAATCGGCAAAAAACTTGAAAATATCGATTTCTAGTTTTATGGACCGCACCAATATCTTATGAGCAACATTTTTGTAGAATATTACGAAAATGACAAATTACATATTGTAATAATTGAAGTTCGGTATAATATTTTAAGTAAACAAGTAAAACGATATTGCGTTCGGGCGGATCGAACTTTTTATACCCTCCACCACGAGGGTGACATGTTATGATGGGACCTTGAACATACCAAAAAAGGCGCGAGAAGAAGATGTTTTTAAATTCTCAAAATACCGTATAGTGGAGCGACTGTTATATGGGGCTATACCAAAACGAAAATCGATATTGATAAATTTTGGTAGTGAGATGAGGCCTATTCTGAAACATGGATCGATATTAATAATTTTTAGTACGGAGATGCGCTATACAATGAGAACCCCAAATACCATTTACAGTCAATTTGCTTGAAACACGTGTCCAAAATCGCCTAAATACCGAATATTGGGGCGTAATATGGAGGCTACATCGAAACAAGCACCGATTAATATTTTTTTCAGATTTCCCTGAAGAAATTGATCTACATGTCACTTCGGTGGGAAAATTCGGACAAAACCTTACACAAATCCAAAATGGTGCGGGAACCTTTATGTGCATTCGGTGATAAAATATGGGGTCCAAACTAAAACATGGTCTGACATTGATAATTTTATGTAGAAAGATTTGATATCCAAAATACCGCGATAAGAAGAGCGGTTAAGATACGTCCAGATCTTCAATAAAAAGAGCTCCAGGTCTTCGATGAGAAGAGATTCATGATCCGTTATATGAGGGCTATACCGAAAGGTATTAATATTGTTCATTTTTTGTAGGGAGATGTTCTACCCAATGATAATCCAAAATATATTAGGTTGTGGAAAAAGAAATCCATTATTTTTTCGGCAGATGGCTGTACTGATAGATTTCTCGTAAAGTATCGATCAAACAAATAGTTTCCTTTTTTGTTTGGTGCATTCAGTTGTGAGTTAGACGGTGTAACAGCCAATTATGTTTTTTAGGTTTCGTAGATTACTTTCAGGAATATCTCATGTTAAAGATGCACCTCGCACAGGTAGGCCGATCGTCGGAAATGTCGATAAAATCGAAGAAAAATCGACCATAAAACTATTTCAAACCATTTACAATTCACCAGAAACGGCCAGAATTGGCCAACAGGATAGGTGACATATTCTACCAGGACAACGCTAGACTACTACTATAACCTGCCAAAAACTTCGGGAGCTTTGGTTGGGAAGTTTTAATGAATCCGCCATACAGTTCGGACTTGGCACCAATCGATTATCATATTTTTCTTGCATTGCAAAATTTCTTTAATGATAAAAAATTGGTATCTAGGGAGGATTGAGAAAATCGACTACTAGAGTTTTTGGCAAATAGAGAGCAGGACTTCTATGAGAGAGGCAGTATGAAGATCCTTTAAAATGGCAACAAAACGGTGTATATTTGGACCAAATCGGACATTCCGAAGCATGTTAAATAAAGTCCTATAGTCCATATAAAAAAATGGACTTATTTTTCCCCAACCTTAACAATTCCAGCCAATGGGATTAGGAAAAGAGGAGCTTAACTAAAATGTTGGCCAATATTGACTATTTTGGGTAATAAGATTTGCTAAACAATTAGATCTCAAAATACCGTCACATTAGTTTAAAAATGTTTCAGAAATAGCGTTTGGGAGCTGCCGAGAAGGAAAAATATATGCTTTAGTTACCTTGAGTATATAAAGTTTCCTTATGTTGGTAAATTAACACCCTAATTTGATAACCCTCAATCAAAAATAACAATCAAAGAGGATACCCTAATGAATAGAATGCTTGCCTTTGAATTTGTTTTGATTTTGTTTTTCTTTCTATTTTCCGGTTAAAAAACAACAACAATAACGACAACCACAACATCAAAAAGATGCCACCTCGAGTGACAGTGACGAAAACTATAATAAATCATCATCCTCACCGGAATTAATACTGGAACCCCCCTCATCAGATCCATCGGCTGGAGAAAGTGACGAACAGGAAGCATTAGCTGGTGAGGAAAAGCTACATCGTCAGCATATACGACGACCGCATTTACCCGACGACTTACGTTTGGCTGAGGGCATTTTAGATCCCAATTCAAATGTGAGCAGCAACAGCAATAGCATTGAAGACGACATTGATGTTGGTGATGAGGAAGAAGAAGAGGAGGAGGGTGCGGGTGGTGTTCTTAGCAGTGGCTCAGTAGGTGTTAGTCTTAGCGATTCCGTAGATGGTGACGATGATGATGATGACGACGACGGCGATTGTGAAGATGCCGATGATGATGATGATCCGGAGGACGATGATGATGACGATATTATGAGCAGCAGTGGTGATGATTTACCCGTCGATGAACATCAGGTCATTGTCGGCGATGTACTAGACATAGAAAACTCAGGTAATGCATGTGGTGGTGCTGAAGGTGTCGATGGTGTAGCTTTAAATGGTTCAAATTCATCCCGAAATTCTTCGAGTGGTGGTAAAATTAGTAGCCGAAGTGACAATACAACACACTCATATTCGAGTCTATTGTTGGAGGAGGAAGATGATATAGTGCCTGCAAATCTACACTTTCCCAAGGATTTTAATACACCTGATTTGGATGTTAGCAATGGTAAGTGAATAATAATCCCTTTTGGCAATTTGTTTGGTTTATTGGTATGTATTACGAAGGATTTTAGATTGAGATCCAAAGGACTTTACATATTTGAAGGTAGATAATTGAATTGGAAGCAAGAAAAATAAAATAAAATTGACAAGATTATTCATGATATGATATACGCACACATATATTAAAGAATTTATGGCGTTAAATTAAAATTGTTAACTTAAATGGAAATACAATAACAACATGTTAAATTGGTTCCTTCTCTAAATTTTGCTCGTTTATTCCTTTTAAAGAAGGATGAAAACATACGAATATCGATTGCATGTCATTGCGTGCTCTATCATTCATTGGGTGCTCTATCAGTGAATTTTTTTGTAAAATATTTGGAAGACAAAAACATCATTAGGACAATATAAATACCTATAAATATCCTGGGTTTTTATTTGATGGCCGTAGTCATGAATAACAATAACCAACTGGCTTCAGACCATTCAGAAGCTTGATGGACCAGACCAACGCCCTACGACGAATAAAACAATATATAGAATGGAGCTTCCTGTATCTACTGTTCATTGATTTCAAGAAAACTTTCGGTACCATCAGACGAACAGCAGTATGGGAAGCAATAAACAAGATGGGAGTTTCACACCAACGCTGTTTAAAAATGTCGAGAAGCTCTCATATATCCTGGAAAACAAAGCTTCAAATATTCGAAGCATGTATAAAGTCGACTCTGCAATACGGCAGTGAAACCTTACAAATGCCTCAGGAGCATATGCAGAATATTCTGGCACAACACCATAGAGCTGAGTAAAGCTGTGGAACCTAACAAATCAGGAACCCGTACAAAAACAGATAAAACGTAGGGTATTGAGATGAATTGGCCACATCTTGAGAAAAAAATGGCCATAGCATTAACAGAATGGCGTTAGAATGGAATCCACAAGGATCAATAAATCGAGGTCAACCAACAATTCAACCAATCTTACATGGAAAGATGCAAAAACAACTGCAACTACCCGAGTGTGATGGAGTAGGATAGCCAAAGACCGGCCGGTAATAAATTTGTGGTATGAAGATTTGACATCCACTGAAATCTACAAATATTATTGAAAATCGGGTCAGAAATTCCAAAAATATAGAAAATTGTAATTTGTGGTAGGGGGATTTTAAAATATCAAATTATAGACATTACGGTTGCCGATTTGATTGAAAAACGTTCTCAAAATTCTGCAAAATACTGAACTTGGGAGAGATTTCTTAATATGGGGCTATCCTCAAAAGAGGATCAGTATTGATAATTATTTTAAGTAGCTACCCACTGAGAGCTCAAAATACTAAATTACATACAATTCAGTTGGAAAAATTAAGACCACTGGTATGCACCGATATATCGCCATATCGTTATACATTTCGAGGTGCGATTGAATATCTGCCAAACTAAGTTGTTAAACCACTTTTTCAGTTCGCTTTATTATCTCACAACGCGTAATATAATTTAAACCTACTAACTTAAATGCGCCTAAGTCTTAAAATAAAGTGTCAGGCAGCACGTAGTGTCCTATGGACAGTATTTTTGGCTCAAAGTGGTCCAACGCGGAAAACTAAGCGACTTCATATGTAGATGTCGTCGTTGACGACTGGAACAGTATTAACACTCCGGCTTTTATCACACACGGTTCCAAGATGGAAGAAGGTACTGCGACTGGCGTCTACTGTGAACGACTAGGTCTTGAGTACACTTAAAGGTTAGAAGTCGTACTTGAGTGTAGAACAGCTTTGGAAACACTAACAGATACCGGCTAGCTGGGTACCAGGACACTACGATTTTATGGAGAATGGATAGGCAGGATCGTAATGTACATATCTAGCAATCGCTAACTCAATCAAAATAACCATTTGTCGCCTTTTCCGTCAAGATACATTTGGCCAACTCTGTCACTGTTGAACCTGAGCTGAAATAAGAGTAATGACGGGAGTGCATGTTAACTTTCCACCATGTCTAACCTTCTATTCAGCTATGGAACTTGCTTTAATCAACAATCTCATCTGAAATATGAAGTAGCTCGAACAGCGCATATTGATCATCTTAACCGTTTGTCCAATTATTTTCCAACCATGATCACCTTTGGA